GCCATCAGAGTCTGGCGGTACACTCGGAGACGCTCCCTACCTTCCGCTCGCTCAAAATCCCAGTTAGGCCGCAACAGAGGAAACCCCTCGTCCACGAGATGAGGCTGGGCGGTTGGTCTCCCAGCGGTTGGTCAACCCCCAGGACCTGTTTCCGCGCCTCTGCCAGGATTCGCTCCCGTTCTTCTGTGGTGAAGAGCACCTGCAACAGCTGCTGACAATCATCCCAGGTGGGGTTGGGAGTGAACAAAATGGAATCTAAGAGGTCAATGAAGCCTTGGGGTTTCTCTGAGAAAGGAGGGTTCTGGGTTTTCCAATTGTACAGGTCACTCGTGGAAAAGGGCCAGTACTGATAGGTTCGCTCTCCGTCCGTGTTAGCTGGTCCCACTTGGACGGGGAGTGCCTGAACAGTGGATGAGGATAACTCTGGGTCCCCAGGGTCTTGCTTACCCTAGTACCCCTAATTCTCCTCCGGGTCTCCAATGCGGGTCCCCCTTCATGGTCAACTCCCGTGGGCCCTCTCAACCCTCTTGATTCGCCCGGGCGAGTTCCTCCCCTCGGAGGGAATTTCAATGGGGGGGGCATACGGCAGAGGCCTTATCTCTGTTTCTAAATCTATCAGGTTCGGATAAGATGATTCCTGAAGGACGGGTTTGGGGTCCTCTTTCTTTTTAGTTTCTTCCAGGGGGGTTTCCATCACCAGGACCTGTGAATTGGAAGAACTAGGAAGTTTGTGAACTAAAGGTTTTAACTACCTGGGCGGATTTTCCACCAGATCCTGCCAGACCAAGACATAAGGAACCTGATCTGGATGACTCCTGGGATCAGGAGCCATAATCTTTTGTTTTACAGCCTGTATAATGGACAGTTGAAAGGTACCTTCCGGAGGACATCCAACTTGGAAGTCAGGCCACTCTGCAGAGCAAAAGGTTATTAATTTACTTTTCTTGACTAGCAAAGACAAGTTATGTGCCCTGGACCTGACATCTGAGAAATGGTCAGTCATGAGAGAAAGTGGGGTAGATTCCCCCTGACCCATAGTCAAAGAGCAAATGGTAGGAGAGAGAGAAGAAGTCACTGAGAACGGCCACCAAAAATCCTACCGGGAGTGGTGGCAGCCAAGAAGTTGGGCTTATGGTATGCTTTTGGAACTGTTTATGTGCCTGCGTCGGTGCACGGAAATTTTCTTGCTGGGGGTGGGCACCCTAGAGGTTTCTAGCCCATTCCGTGACCCCCCTCATCCTCTCACGGGAGTCTTCAAGTGGCAGGCACCCTAATGGCCTTTAAGTGCCTGACCCGTGCCCACACAAGGAATTTTAGGCTACGTCCTCAGCTAGGGATGTTGAAGGAGAGTTTCACCCTATTGGGCTCTCAGTTACTGAGGCTCACTTATTGCAGGGCCTTCAGAGTCCGCCAGAGTGTAGCCCTGGCAGGGACTCATCAATTGCCCCGACAACTGTTCGCCTGTTCACTGAAACTCCTGAAAAGAGTAGGAGTTGAAGGCAGATCAGAGAGGAAGGGGAGAAGGAGAATAAGTCAGAAGAGAGAGTAGAGAACAATACACCAGAAGACAACGAGACCAGAGACAATGCCGGCACACACACAAACACGGAGGGGCGTAGACAAACACACGGACAGACATATGTCAGCCGACAACACAGCGCTGGGTTTTCAGGCCCCCTGAGTCCTCTTGCCTCCCGGTACAGGGTTCACCTTACCAAATGGCGTCCACTGCTCACCAGACTCGGGATCAGGAGAGGAACTCGCCTTCCCGCAGAGCTGGCTGCCTTCCAGCGCCCTCGCTGGCCTCGGTCTTGCGCCGGCTGGAACGTCCAATCCGTTCCCCCTTTATAGAAAGCTTTCTCTTGCGCCAGATACCTTCCTGCTTCTCAGCAGGGCCCCGGATTTACACTGGACTTTCCTGTCCTGCCTGAGCACTGGTACTATTATCTTTCCCCCATCCTGGAAGTGTTCCCTTCCCCCGGTCAAGGGATCCCGGACGAGCCCCCAGATGTTGTGCCCAATGTCCGAATTCCCCAGCAGGAAAAGAGAAGACCTCCTCGACAATGCAACTCGCAAAGGAAGGGAAATTTATTGCTGACTCGAGTCAGGGCCCCTGCTGCAACCAACGCAGTGGTGCAAAGCCAGAGAGCCCTGAGCCCCAGTATCCACACACATTTATAGGGTGCTCGATTTCAAACATAAGCAGTGGGTAGTTAGCGCAAGTTGATTGGTTACATGTTTGCGAAGCAATTTCATTGGTCAAACACACTTTAAAACTTTCTCTCGCACAGGACTTTCCAAGGGACTCTCCCGGAGGCTTACTGGGCGCGTGCTGATTGGCTAGCCTCTGGTGGCCTGTTGGAGGAAAAAGAGAATCACCCCACCCTTAGGCCCCCTCCTAGCTCAGGGTGCCTGTCTTGGCGCTAGTCTTGACAGTCTCACACCCTCCTCCTGTCACTCCCGCTTGCTTTCACTGGAGGGGAAACATTCAACTTGATGACTGCTACGAAGCCCAAATAAAGTTTTGGGTCACGTG